TATAGTTTCTTTTACATTTAATGCTTTCAGTGCTTTGCACTGTGGGATAGATTGTGGTTTATGTTTACAGGTACTCCCTTGCACTTGTTAAGCATTGTAATAATCTTTGATAACGTTTCCTTTAAATCAAAGCTGGCTCAAGATATGTTTCCTTTTAATCTATATTCTTTTAATCTATTAATAATGATGAATATATGCAATTTCAATCTAACTGAATAACCATCAGAAACACCCTGAAACTTAGTTGCTACCAATGGTTGGTTTCCTCAGTGATTATCAGTGGAGATGCAGTAATAAGAAAATAGTTACTTTTTAATCTTTATTTTAACCCTTATATGGTTTCATCAATGTCTTCGAAATGGATATGTGCCTTATGAACACATGTTCTGATTTGGCGCTATATAAAAAAACGAATTGAATTGGATATGAGCATGTCTTTTTTATTATTATTCAAAACAGTGTCTTAGACCCATTATTATTTAAATGAATTAATTTCCTTCTGTATTAGGTTAAGAAAAAAAAAACATGTGCAAGTTTAAGGTGATATGTTTCATTAAAGCCTTTAAAATGCTAAAGAAGGAATTCCACATCAAATTAATGAATTTTGATCACACATTAGACAATCAACCCCATGATCAATAACATTATCGAGCCCTATTGAAGTCTAGACTACTGTTATTAGCTCCTGGCTTAAACCTTCCTGTGAGTAGAATATCTTCAATCAAAGTCATTTCCTTCGGCTTCTAATTAGGCTTCTGGTTAAATTAAAAAATATACTTTAAAATATTTTAACACAAAAGCGAGCATCGTTAAACCGATCTCCAAACATTCCTCCTTGCCTTTTTTATTTTCTTTAATAAACCCAGCAAAATTTACCCGTTTTTAAAGGTAAATGTGTGATAATCCAAAAGAATTTCCCTGCACCCTATAGAGTAGAAGCCGCAGACAACGTCACAAATGACTATGATCCCGATTTAGCCTGATTACTGACTTTTATATATAATCATGTCGCTCTTTTGGTTCAGTAGCAAAAAATTGCATGCGGATGTGTCAGAAGGGTGTAGTTGGGATTTTTTTTGATTTGTTTAAACATTAAATCAGCTTATTTCATAAGCGCCAGGAGCTGGCTAGAAACTCATGAACGTAATCTAATTCCAGGGCTCATGACGCACATTGAAGTCTACCTGCAAGCAGTCAGCAAATTTTTGCGTACCTACGTGGTTTATTTAAGGATATATTATGCCTATGGATTTGCACACTAACAGCACTAAGAACGTGTTTGTCGATACTGAAAATGTATAATCTGAATTTACCTCTTTAAGTAACCACGCTGTGTTCTGCTATTTATTCTTAAAAAAAAAAAAAACTTTTGAAAAAAATTGTTTGTAGATCTAGTCACTTGTCTTTTTAAATGAACATTGTGAGCAATTTTAAATACAAGTCCAAAAGTGTAGGAAAATAAGTCTTCAGAAGCATATTCTTATTGCCTTTTAAGCGCCGGCACAGTCATGTGCCTATATGCAGTGCAGTTGTTGAGAGAGAGGGTGACTGCAGGTAACCAACATGCAGTTGCATGGAGATGCTCTCCCCTCCCCCACAACCTCTGCATCAGACGGGCTTTCTTCCTGCTCGACAGGATTCGTCTGGAGGGACATGATGTCTGCTTGTCATTCACAGCCCCACATCTTGCCTGGGCACTGCTGTTGTTCCATTTTAAAACTCATAAATATTTGAACCTACTGGGATACAAACCTAAAAACATTACTTTAGTGTATGTTGTTTTTTGAATATTTGATACTTTATTCGTGCAATGCTTAGAATGTGATATAGTGCAACCAATTTATGTAAGAATAGGCCTAGTCCTTTTTGTTAAAAGTAACTAATTAATTAGTTGTGTAGCATTATTGGAATGAGTGAAAGAAATATGTGTTTAAAGTAAAAGAAAAAAAAATCGTGAGAGAAGGTTTTCTTCAACGTCTGTAGTCGGACATTGTTGCTGAATTAAAATTGACGCATTTTAATCGGCGGCACTTTATTTTGTAATCAGTTGAATGGAGTTAAAAAAGAAACGAAAGCAGTTTCTTGTAAGTTATATACTTGACAAGTTATTTCTTGTCTAAGTTTATTTGCAAAGGGGGAAAAAAAACAAACGAAAAACAAAAACAACAATTAGCCTCTTAAAGATCCTCCAAGAGATTTTATTAAACTTTGTTTTAAACCTAAGAATATATGTGTTTTTCATATGTATATAATAGCTGCGGTGTGAGAAAAATGTCAGAGTAAGTTCCAGTGTTTATATTAGCTGTCTGCTAAACTTTTTATGTTCACAGGTCACAATAGTTGGATAGTATAAAATGTAACTGTGCTATGAAATGTAAGCAAGTGCTAATCCTGTAGGAAAGCGCTTGTCTATCTGCAGCATGTCTGCTGTTTATAAACCTTATAGATATATTTAAAGTGAACTATTCCAGTTAGATATGTGTCGGACCTCATTACATTGCTGGCATGCGAGGTGAATACTCATCTAATAATATTGGCATGTTATAAGAAGTAAAACAAGATATATAATTTGAACATTTATTATTAGGTTTATAGTTAACTCCGTAAGTCATTTAAGTCTGTGTAAGTGCTACATTGTTGCAAAGTGAAGTTATCAACTGCTTCTGTTAGGATCAGACCTACTCCCTTTTTTCATATTACTATATATATATATTTGTGTATATGTATATATATATATTTGTATATATGTATATATACATTATATATACTTTTTGCTGCCTCTTAAAACAAGACCACTTTATGTTTTTTATTCAAATTTAACCCCTCAATATCTAGTTCGTTGAAATTTTTGATCAGGGTTTATTATATTGAGATTATTATTCTCTGCTAAATATTGTTTCATTTGGACACATTTTTTAATGTCATTGAAGAAATATACTGCTAACAAGCTAAAGACAGGTTTCAGTAAGTTCTTTGTTTCGTTTTAACGAAAAGTTCTCCCGCAAGACTTAATTTTTACCTATGTTCTTTATTTTTTTAATAGTTCCTGTGCTCCTCTCCATTCTCCGTTCTCTCTGCACACATTTTCAGCCATGCTCCCTAAATAACGGCTATAGTTTGCATGTATACTCTAGTGTGAAGTTCATTCTTGTCTGTCTAGACTCTCCTTACGACCCTGTTTGTCTGCGTTTTTTTACCTTGACCTTGGACTTCCTTGCAGCTGCCATTTGGATGAGCCCTCCGCCGAAGTTGTAATTTCCCTGAGACAAAAGAAGCTACAGCCTCTCACTCAGGAACGATTGGGGAGGTAGCCAGGGTCCAGCTTTCTCAGAGCTGTGCATACAAATACGACTTGGTGGCCACTTTATGTCTATAAGTCTAAGAAATGTGTTGATGCACTGCGCGCCCTTTTCGCATGGGCAGCTCCGAGCCTGCTTTATAGGTGACTCATAGGATAGGCATTATAGACGCTCTCTGGGCCTATCCCAGATAACAATTATGTGTAGATTCTGCAAACAAGTTAAAATATGATTTTATCACAAAATGAAAAGAGGAATTTTTTTATGTATGTGCTTAGGATATAGTATAGCACTCGGATGCAATTTGACGCTCTGAAACTGTTTCTAATAGCGTTTGTAAATAAAAACGTATAACTTTTTGTTGGGTGAATTAAGACCACATTTTTCTTTTAGCTTGGATTTGAGTGAAAGTTGCTTGGGGTCTGCACAGTCTCAAACTGAAAGCGCCCTTGTTCTTTCTGTCACCAGGGAGTGCCTACTAAGATTAGCAATAACTCAGTGTGCCAAAAACATCACGAGTTTGTAGAACGAGGATTTTAATTTTCGTATCTTTACAAAAAAATTATAATATGAGGCTTTGAAAGAAAAAAGATATTTCTTCATGTTTCAGAGAAAGTTTCAACTGAAGGGATAGGGACTCTTGTTCATGAGCGATTTGGATAAATCCTTTAATAATAGTATTAAACTATGATGTTAGTCACAATCTGTAAGTATCGTGGCTTACCTGAACAGCCTTGTTTCTTGCCCCGGTGCTTTTGCCGCTTATGAGGAGGTGCAGCTGACACTCTTACAAGACCAAGTTTGTACATTTTAGGGGTTGAAAGCTATATTTTTGAATCTCACAAACGCACAAACACGCAATGGTACAGACTCTAGATGTCATGTTTTATTTGATAAAAAAATTGATATTTTGAGATTTTTTTCGAGTTTTGTTACCTAATTATAAGGTTATAGAAAAATACTGTTTATTGATGAATAACTTCCTTATGGAATATTAAAACACTACTGTACATTCAGATGCATTATAAGGAATGTTAGTGTGAACCATCATGCTCATAAAAATAAAATCCCCATTGCTTTAATATTTCACAATTTCTAGCATCCTATTTACTACTGTAGTATAAGCCAAAGCAGATTTATTAATTAAAATGCATTTTTATATTGAAAGCAAGCCTCAGCAGGAAATTGTTGCTTGCGTAAAGCACTGAACCAAATGAACTTTTGCGCATTGCGCTCCGTCCAAAACCAGTAAAAAACCATGCATTATATCCTTTAATAAAAACAAAACTTCACATTTTTTATGTGTAAAATGCTCCGTGTATCATTATGCAGCTATACATTCTGAGTTAGTTCTCATAGTCGGCTAAATGTCTCTGATTGTTTTCGCTTGGCCCAGCTTAGAGCGTTTTCCGAACTTCCCTTTAAGGGTGTGGGTCTAGCTGACTTAAACCAATGGTGTGACTCGGCTTTCTGTGGGGGAAAGCGGTGTCATGCGAGACAGTGGGTCTTTAAAGGAGCTGCTATACCCCTGCTCTCAAGCCCAATCTCGCAGGACTTGTTAGCGTATCACGTGCCAGACTCTTAATGAAGTGGACACACAGTTGGGCCCGGTGTGCGCATGCGCTCGGTGTAAAATGTAGTTGGAAATGAGGTGTCCGTCTTGGAGTAGTCGACTTTTAAAAAGCATCGGCAGCCCGTGATATGACGACTTCGCTGGTTCTGCATCCACGCTGGGCGGACACCTTGATGTACGTTTATGAAAAAAGCCCGAATGAAAGCAGCCAGAATAAAAGCCAAACAATGGAGGGACTGAGCGGTAATTGTCCTGCGACCCACTGCAGGGACCTGATGTCGCACCCCGCGCTGGGACGACATTCTGGCTCCATAGCGACCCACCAGGGCTCTGTGTACTCGGATATTTCCTCTCCTGACAGCGGCCGGCAGTGCCCCGCTCCCCAAACGTCTTCGAGCGCCTCCCTGAGCTACGGCTACCCGTTTGGAAACCCATATTACGGCTGTAGATTATCTCACTCACACAACGTGAACTTGCAGCAGAAGCCATGCTCGTACCACCCCGCGGAGAAATACGCCGAACCCAGCACGGCTATCCCCACGGAAGAACTGTCTACCAGGGCGAAAGAGTTTGCTTTTTACCCAAGTTTCGCCAGCTCGTACCAAGCCGTTCCCGGATATTTAGATGTATCGGTGGTACCAGGGATCAGCGCCCATCCTGAGCCGCGGCACGACGCTCTGATCCCCATGGAGGGCTACCAGCACTGGGCTCTCTCCAACGGCTGGGATGGACAGGTGTACTGCTCGAAAGAGCAAACACAGTCCACTCATCTTTGGAAATCACCCTTCCCAGGTATGATATATATATATATATATGCACAGGTTTATAAATGTTTTACAGGAATTTAAACCGAACAGGCTTGAACAACATTGAAGAGCATTATTCTAATGCAAGTTGAGAATATGCATGTGTGTACATACACATGCTATGTTAAATCATCAGCCAAATTACATTTAGCCATGAATAACATTTATTTAATTTCAGTGTCAATGTGTGCAAAAATATTAACTTGTTGACAGACTGTACCTGCCTTTTAATTAAGTTCAATTCTAACTTTTATTTTTTTAGAATGGGACAAATAAAGATGGAGGATGGACTATATATACATTCACAATAATAATAGAATTCATTAGGTTTTCTAGCTGGATGGTGCTCTGATTATATTCAGAGTACTGTACCTTGCAAAGTCACATGATGAATGGGACACAGTTTGCTGTCACGTAGAATATAAAGGTACATCAGTGCATACCTTTGCCCCCTGGATGACAATGTGGTGACTGAGCTATAGCTTGCTGGGTTTGGACTGTGGCAGTAAATCTATGCGCCCTGCGGTGCGTCTTTTGAATATAGGCCAATCTGGATTCATGTAGAACATTTGCATTGCCATCACTATAGATAAACGTTTCACAATCACGTATTATTTCAAATAATGTTGCATTTCGTTAACATGCATGAAACGATTTAGCACGCAACTCATTTTGCCTTTATGATCTTTATGAAATCTGTAGCTATTTTAATTGCACATAGGGAGTCCCCGCATCTCCCCCCTGCAGCCCCCTACTCTCATTTTTATGTTGCAAATATATTGGAGAGAGCCACGCAAGCACGGGCACGCTGTCAAGTAAGCGCGCACATGTGCTCAAACACAGAATGAGGTTTTCCCAAATGAAACCAAATGCATTAAATTTGAAAACCTAAAAGAAATAACCTGGCACCACAACATCCATGCAGTATTGCACAATTTTAGTTCAAGATTTAATTTATGAAAAATATTACAAAACATATAAAGCTGACTTAATATGTTCTTTTATGGTTTACAGAAGAAAAGAAATCGCCTAGCTATTCTATTTCTGCATGAAGGGAGTTCAGAATCCATATATCCACACTTTGAATTACTCTAAACTATTATTAATTGTGTGTGTGAAAACCACCAATTTACCAAAAGAAGTTTGCAACTATTGCAAAAAAAAAAAAAAAAAATTTTCAAGTATTATTTCAAGTATTTCACTGGTCAAATAAACATTGTACCAAACATAACATTTCCTTACAGCCCTGACTTTATAGATGTAAAAAGTAAATTATAAAATTATTTAAAAAATGCTCCATTTAGTCGAAAGTTGTAGGTTATAGGCAATGTATAGTTTTTCAGACAGGCACTTTCTGGGATACCCTGCTCTGCAGACATTAGACACAATATTCTTTCTCTCCATATCTTAGCGAGAGATTTATCCAAGATGCCATTAACAGTAATTGCGCAGTGGTTTGTAGATCTAAACAGCAAACAAATGAAGTACATTGCAATTTAAAGGAGTAACAGTGATCACTCGCCGCCTTAAGGCATATCCAAGATTTTTTGCAGGTTAACGCCTTGTGTTATTTAAAAATACAAAGGAGTGGAGATTGTTTTTTAATTGTGTTTTTAAGGAATACGGAATTGGATCAGACAGCCTAAATGTCAGGTGCAAAACACCTGAGAACTGCCCCACCATCTATCTATAGGCGCACACACATTGTCCATACACCTTCACACACTCAATTACACGTTGCGTTTGAGCTCAATTTTTTTTTTTTAATGAACAAGTGCTATTCCAATTGTTGTATGAATTGTTTAATTTGAACAATCTCTGAAAGTGTCCCCTTTCTTTTCAAGATGTCGTTCCCCTGCAGCCCGAGGTCAGCAGTTACCGTCGTGGGCGCAAAAAACGTGTCCCTTACACCAAGATCCAGCTCAAGGAGCTGGAGAAGGAGTACGCGGCCAGCAAGTTCATCACAAAAGACAAGAGAAGGCGCATCTCGGCCGCCACCAACCTATCGGAGCGCCAGGTCACCATCTGGTTCCAGAACCGGCGGGTTAAGGAGAAAAAATTCGTCAGCAAATCCAAAAGCAATCACATCCACACCACTTGATAAAGACAGAGGCTGCACCTCGAACCTTCCCAAAGCAACATGCCATATGTTTACCTCTCGCTTCAGAGAACTCGACTGACAAACATTTGATTTGTTTGTATTGGTCGAGTGTGTTTTAATTTTCTAATTTAACTTCCAACATGAACCATGGATATAGACCACATCAACAACCCCCTGCAGTTCTCAGTTTAGAGATAACCCTCTAAAAACTGTGAAATGTTGAAAGTTAATTTCGATTTTGTTTTATAGAAATGTACATATATAAATATATAATATTTAAAATGCTATCTGTATTTCAAAAACAAGTATTGCGTGTTTTTCCCCTTCTTCTACAAGCCTGAATCTTTAGAAAGACTGACGACATCTCAAACTGCTTGCAATGAGGAAGATCAAAATCAAAGGACACTTTTGTCATTTTAGAGAGGATGATCGCCCATATGGACAACATAAGTCGAACTTTAGACTTTAATCAGTCTCTACAGCTAACATTAAAGACTTTCAGCAGAAAAAAATAAAAATAAAATAAAAAAACAATAATCATCTGAATTTCAAAAGCAATGCTCCTCTATGTGGGGATTTCTTCTGTAAAGCCTGGGCTAAATCATAGCCTGCTATGTTGTTAATCTGTATAGTGCAATGCCTCCATTATTTAAATCATATTAACTAGTACCGGAGTATCATAAACCTGTATGTTTTACTTTATCAGTGAAGAATTCTGTCTGTCATGCAACTGGAATGATTGTAAACCATTAAAGTGAGTATTACATATAAATGCACAATCGTTTTATTTTGTTATGACCTTGTTCAGTGTAAAATTGGAGCTATGATCACACGCCATGTATCCGAAGCCTGTATAATTTCTACTTTGGTGCAGTTTGTGAACTGTTTTGTGGTGTTGAATTGCGTTCTGGTAACATTGTTTCATAAATAAATGGTTATGAAAATGCTCCCTCATACTCCAGTCAATTAAGCAGCTCAGAGAATTTCTATTCGTTTAGATGCAGAAATGTTAATGGGCTGCAGAACTACTGTACGTTTTTTTTATTTTTTTTTTTATTTTTTGTACAGCATCAACACAACCAAATAATTATTGAGTGCCCATTTAAGATGTTATTACGCACGGGATGTTGCTAATCAACGAGAAAGTTATTCATTTTTTTTAACAATAGACAACCTGATCAAACAGTTTGGATATTGTATTAGTTCGTCAAGTCTTATATTGTTAAATATGATGCTATCAAGCCAAATTCTGAAAATATATAAACAAAATTTGTACAAAAAAGAAGTAAGAAAGAACGAAAGCCGAGGGAAAATACACTGAGTTACATTATTCACTCTTCAAAACAAAGAACACATCCATCTTTATTCCACACTACAAGATTAAAAACATATTATAACAAACCCATTATATTCCTAGCATTATTTAGTGGAATTGAAAGTTTTTTTTCTATAAAAAAATCCCCTCATTGTTTATTTTGTTTGCGTTGCCTAATTAAAGGAAACTATCAGCCTTAACACAAATTCTCGTTATATTTCCTATGTATTCCACTCCAGTTTGGATCGCGGCCGACGCCTCGAAAACAGGTAAGTTTTGCGCGAATTTAGGGACACGACTATGGCCAAAGGGTAATTTATACAATTATAATTTTGGTGATCTGGCGTATTCAAAAATACATTTATTTCTTGTTAAATGTAAATAAATCGTATATATTCCCAGTTTTCATACAATAATAAGTCCATTTATCATAATCTTGCGTTTTGATTGAATTCGCGTATAGAATGCACGCATTTACATATGTTTATTTATTTAGTTACTACTGGAAAGGTTGCTTGAAGCTCACGAATGCACACGTCCATGTAAGCGAAATACAAAACTACACCTTAACACAAAACCACATATATATTTCTTGTTTTCTAAATCTAAATAGAGATGCGTGTAACCAACTCAAAATATTTAGTTTTGTTTATTTTCTTTCTGCTGCCCGAGTGTCTCCCTGGCTCAGTTAAGCTACTTATATAAGCCATATTTACGAAAAATGATTCGAGGCAAATAGTCTCAAATTTACGTCCCCATGCAGCTGTTCAGGGTATCAGACGCAAGCTGGAGCTGGTTTATTTTGAGGGCTTCTTCAGACATGTTCATGTCAAGTCTGTAATTTAGGTTTCTGATTAGAATGAACATTAAGCCGGGTTATGCTCCAAAAGACCAGCTAAGTTTAAATCGTTTATTTTCTACTTATGTTTTAATATCCAACGTGCATGTCAATTGTACCGTGGTTGTATTTTCAAGGACTAAAAACTAAGCCTAGTCTAGTTAAGATTAAGTTTTATTTTCTTTGGTATGCGGGGCCGTGTGAAGTTTTTCCAGCTTCTCCAAACCTTTTGGAGCTTTTAGTTTGTCTGGGCTTCTAGATTTCCACCCAATGTTAAAACTCTTCTGATTTTACCCTTGACCATGACTATGTGGTCACTTTGACCTTGACATCACAGAAGATTGTGAATAATAAATAGAGTGGGGGAGGACGCCGGAGCTCGGCGGTTTGTTTGTAGGCAAACAAGGTGTTATTTCCCCCGTCTAGACAGCCGGGGCTTAATGGCATGCCATAAATTCATAAAAATGGGAAGTGTAGCTGTATCCTTTGACCCACGTTTTTCTGACCATCTCTTGGAGCTTTGTGTCGACATTTGGACTCATCAGTTTTTTGGGGAAGTACTGAAAAAATTATAGTAATACGCAGCGTGGCCCTACGCCTCTTCGAGCCAGTAATCGTTTCATGCAGTCATCACGAGGTGTGTGTGAGAGTATTGTTGACCATGCTGGACAGGTAGAACTTTTTGACGTTTCTCGCCAACCGCACCAAGCTGCAACAATCCGCAGCAACCGGATAGAGCATGTAGAGCAAGAGGAAATAATAACACGACATCGCCCACAATATAACCATCAAAGGTAGGGGCGCTTACCTTGTATCTTGACAGTACAGGCTTACGTGGATTTCGCTGTATGACTCTAGAAAAGCTTTATTTTCGGCAAACTGGCTTGTATGGCTTGTTATTCAAGTAAAAAAACAAGAGACAACATTTGTATTCAATATATTTTGATTATATTTGTTGTATTTGTTGTACAATATTTGGATATAAGTAATTTTTCTACATTTTTTCCGTTGTCATACATTTAATACGTAATCAGTATACGTCTGCTTTGACAAGTCCAACCCCAAAAATCTTTAAGGAAAATAAGCTTCAAAATATTTCTTACGCTTTATGAAGAATCTTTTAAAGCAGATGTTTCGCTTTTGCTTGTCATTTAAAAATATAATACAAACAGAAACACATCCTGCTGGAAATATTTATGAAATAAATATATAAATATCTATAAATTTAGAAGGGGATTCTCCATAAATGTAAATAATTTTCCTGACAGTTCTGTTAATGTTTCACTCGTAAGTTGTATCTTTCTTTTATTGAATAACCAACGCCCTTAACTAACATTCTCATTGCTTAAACAATGGACATTTTCCAACATCTACACTAAGGATATATTTTTAAAATAAGTAAAATGTAGTTTATTTTAACCAACCAAACATAAATCTGGCCTTCAGAACACAGCATAAGTTACATGAAGTTGCGTTGTTTATGGCTGCGTGAGAAGTCTTAATGGCTGCAGGCCGCTGCCAGACAAAGACATGAGAAAGGGGGCTGATAACCTCTGGTGGTGACCAGAGGAAAATATCAGGAAGTGATTCAAGTGTGTCTTTTTTATTTAGTGAACATTCTGCTCACTGGGGAGATTTTGAAAGTTTTGATTTAGACATATGCTATTGAGTTTATTTTCCTAATATTAGATATCCTGTTTTAATATACTGTAGTTATTTATTTTTGATAAAATCTCTTTTTATGTATTTATGGAAAATTCTTACTTTTTGAAACTAAAAGTTCGAGTAAACGGCTTCAAAGTGTTCACAAAGATCTTACTTTCCCCTAACTTTTGTCATTATTTTATTGAGGGGATCCTATTTAGAAAAAAATAAATAAAAAAGTATGGAAACTCGTGGTATAGTTTTACAAACTATATCTATTGTAATAGAATGTTTTCATTTTAAATGCATAACTTTTTGTAAAATATCAATTTCAATATTTTTTCATCGTTACTAACAAATTTATTTAACACGTGTTTTGTTAATAGAAGTTTAGCTTTATTTCAATTTTCACTGTCAATTTATGCAATATATGAATTTATATGTTTTTCAACAGGAGTGTTACCTCGTCTCGAAAACCAAACTCTTTGTCTTTGTAAGATATACATGCAACATTAAAGAGAATATCACATAAGAAGTAATTTAAAATTTTTTTATGTTTTTATTCTATATAATCTCCACATTTACCACTGTAGTTAACAATGTTGCATTAACTTATGCTTACGAATTCTGAGTAGG